ATGAAATGGCAGCCCTCAATCTTTGAAGCCACTAAACTTTACGAGTAATCACATGACTTTTTTTCACACACAGAGGCTTTTTTCAGTCTTAATGTCGGGTATGAGTTAAATAAAGAGTATATTTATTGTCATTCGCGTTGCAACCCATAGAATCAAACGATGTATCCGTTTCCAGTCACTCACGACAAGTAAATCGATATGAGTTTATCAAGTTGTTTACTAGAATTTACTACCAAAACTTTAAAACGGAAATCCCTGAGATAAATATAATATTAAGGACTAATCAGATTTTAACAGGACGTAAAACAAAGAACTCGAATCGATGGAATAAATTAGTCTGAGCAAGAGATGACTGATTATAAATCGAACAACGACTTAGATTAACAATCGTCATCTGGAACGACCCATCGGTAGGACAGTGGGTCAAATAAATAAAATAATAGCATAAAAATTATGATATCGTTCTTACACTCTGCGTTGTATATACATAAACAGACATGCTTATTACTGTGATAATTCAACATTCTATTTTCAACATCCAAATCTCCCTCAAACCTCTTTCGTTTAGAACGAATTATCAAATTTACAAAAACAGGTCGTCATTTCAGCAAAGCACATCTAGCTTTAGTAATAACATAACGTCCATAGATAGCTACAAGAATGCACACAAAATCAAATTGTGGCTAAAAGCCCATGTAAGTAAATGCATTGGAATGTACAAAAGTGAAAAACACGCTTTCATCATGCCATACTACAGAAAGCACGATGAGATGAACATTAAGGATGTATTGTGTTCACTTTAAACAACAGTAAAGAGCGATTCACATACTTTGCTCCACTTCTTGTCGAGACGAATCGTTTCCTCTGCATCTTTCAAAGCTTCTTCGTACCTCTTTGCCTTTGCATATGCAGCCGAACGGTTGCTGTACAAAACGTGGTTCTGCGGATCCAAGGCGATCGCCTGCGAGTAAAATTCTATAGCATCGCTGAACCGCGATTCCGCAAGTGCCTGGTTGCCTTTCTGCTTGAGTTCGCTAGTTTTCTAAAAAAATGCTTAACAGAATAATGAAACAAAATTAGGTACCCATCACTTACATCGGCCATCTCGACTGTAGACTGGTCAAACTGAAAGCACGCGAAATAAGGATCGGTGCTGATCTAATTTAATGAACTTGACAATCACATCTAGAAGTTTCTAGCAAAGGATTACTGTATTTAATGCATGCAAATGATATGAAAGTACTAGATAAAAGTGAGTGCGCTGCTTAAACAAAATCGACCTATTTTACTTTTAGAAATTGAATAGAAAATAAGGAACGATGGAATAACCAAAATAGATTAAATTATTTAGGGGCTACACTGTATAAGAGCACTGCACGCGCGGAAAAGAAGTTATTGGAACTGTTTATCTGCAAAGCTAAAAAGCATAAGTCACTATTGCATAGCCAGCCAATCAAGAAGAAACTATGTAAGATTCAACCAAAGCAGTCACGGAAGAACTGAACCGACGAAAACAGAAGGCATGAAGGAATAGATTGCCTTAAATGTTCAAGCCTCTCGTCTCGAGGATCCAGGCCGTTATCATCCTAATTGTCGCTTTGTGGGAGGGGGGCAGTTGATGCAACGGGTCAATAAGATGCTTTGCTTGCTAAAATGCCAGTTCAAACACAGCGAGACGCCTGAACTTTATCTTATTGTTTGCTGATTCTCCTGGTCAAGGAATTCATCTTATTGTTTTTCAGTGCAACCAATCAAGAAATAGGCAGCAGTTCACTGACCTCCGAATAATGAAGTGCTTTTGTGTGCTCATACCAATTTGTGCTAGACATAGAGACATGTTGTCTAATGCAGGCGCGTTACGCGTGCAACTTCCCTTGATCCATAAGATTTCTGATTAAGTATCAGGACGAAGTTTAAGCAAATTTTTTAAAGTGCTAACTGCATGGCCATCTAGCACACAGCCATATTGTGCCGCCAGCGGCAAACTTCCAGCATTAGCAATTTCGTGCAGTTGTGGAATCATGAGGACAAAGTCATTACAACCACCTGCGTGCAGTCATAGAAAACGTCTTAATTGTAATTACGTGACACTTTTGCCAGAGCGTGGGCGAGCGCAACATTCGGTTTTGCCTGTTTGACCTTTATGCGACAGTCCAAGATTCTATTTAACTGTTCATCCTTTGAGAAAGAAAATACCCATATCAAAACAGTGGAACCGCTTATAGACTAATAAATGATAAGGCTCTTCTTTTCTGTAGGTCCCAGGAGAAGAGCCTCTAAAACCGCCAATATGTGAAAGTTTTACCGGCAGTTAAATCACAGATATCTTTCAACTTATGTTCTTCAGATCAGTAACGCACAGTCCACATGCACCACATGATAGTGTTAATCGCTGGTACAGTGCAGATGTTTGTTTGAAACTGTTTTGTCAGTTGCGAACGTGTACCTCCCTGCGCAATTCATTTTCGTCTGAGCATGAGATTATTTTGCTATTCAGCCGTGTAAATCCGAGAATATGCAGCATATTGACGGTAGTTGCGCCATGTGAATGATCAACTTGAACTGATACCATAAGTTTCCTTCTTTTATTTTATCTTGTAGAATTCGTTTTGCATGCGGCATACGTGTGAACATATCTAAAACGAAAAGCCTATTCTTTACTCGTTCTCCTGCCCGTTGCTCTCTTCAGATTAACGGAGAGGCAGTAGAGCAGGTGGAGAAGTTCAAGT